GTATATATCGTTACAATAGTTATGTAAACAATATATATAAAGTCCTCCCTTGGATGTTGATGCTAAGTGGCTTTTGTGGGGAAAAAATTATGAAAAATTGTATTTTTCAATTAATTTTGTTCAAACTGAAAATAAGTACAGAAAATTGTATAAAATCTTGCAAAACTGAAGTGTACCAAATAGTAAATAATGAAAATTTAAACTGAATTTTTTTTTTATGACATTAGCTTTGAACTTGGGTTTTGGAAACTCCAGCGCACTGGAAACGAGTAAATGAGAGTTGTCTCCCCTTTGTTTACAATATATTGAAGTAGCAGAATGGAAAGAAAAGGTTCTATCCTTTGTCGAACTCTAACTAGATGAGGCTATAGTTAGCCTAATAAATAAAGGAATATAAAGACAGCTAAACGCTACTAATAGTATAAGAGAGGAGGAGGACTGAGGTGATTCATCTCCCACAATTAGCCCACAAAACTATATGCACTGCGGTCGTGTAGGACTACCTAGGTGATAAATGGCACATTCTGTATCAAGGTTTGACAGAACTTAAAGAAGCATGCCAGAATGATAGATTAGGAAAATATAGTATTCAAACTTTGCTTTGGATTCAACATACTCCCCCCCCCCTCTCTTAGCCCCCTATAAACACATCTCAGGGCTCCCTTTCTCACTCGTACATGATACTAAACTCAACCCATTCACACCTTTATCTCAGCACGCGCACAGACACTAAATACTAACATGTACTATCTACTACACACACCCACAACTCTCCACACCATCATGTATCAAGTGCATAAGGTTAAATTAAAGTGGCTGTTTGCCTAAAGAGGGGTTAGCATATCATTATTTATCCAGTTTTAAATTAATACAATTTCAAATTATATATCTACGTTTAAGTCAAGTTGTGAATATTTGTGATCCTTATCAAAGTGTGAGTAGTATATGATGGCATTCATATTTTCTATGTTAATTAATTTTAAAACAATTTCAAAAGGTGATTGAAGGATAAGCCTGAACCATCAATGTAAAGAATGTTTAAGCGATAATCCATACATGTTATCAAATAATTATTAGTTTATTACCAAAGTCTGTAAAAAAAAATTGAAAGTGAAAAAAGATCACAAATAGCGACCTCACAGGGCGTCGCCATGATGCTATCTCACACGGTTAACGAGAGCGCGAAAAAGCGAGAAAATGACGTCATCGACACACCACGAAATTAGGTTACACCGCTGTCATCAATGGTGCGCGATGCCGGCCTGTCAGGCTTGGGGTTGTTCAAACCGTAACGACCGGGGGAAAAGCGTCCCCGGTCACGGAAAATCATTTTTTCAAATACCCAGGCCAGATAAAAAGAAGATCCTATGCAGCAGATGGCTCCACAACATCGGGACGGGCTGGACAGCATCGACCTTCAAGTTCGGGCGGCACAAGGTTTGAACTTTGAACAACATGACATTTTTTGCGTATAACCTGTTCTAGACAAGCTCATACATGATTATTATGAAAGTAATTCTTATAGGTCCTTGTTAATATAGTTGCATTTGTTAAATAACTTAATTTTGTTTAGGAAATATTTTTATTTCAATGATTTCTTCAATGAAAAATATAATATTTTCGGCTGCAATGTATTCGAAGCGAATCCTCCTTTGTCACGATGCATTGTGGTATGTTCGTAATAAAAATAAATTCGTACGTATTTATCACATTTAATTCAACCATAAACTGGCTTGATCTTGAATTTGTGTTCGATTATAATTAGTACGACATTGATATGATTACGAATGTCGATAGGGATTAAAGGGAAAATGTAGACTTGTAGGGCTGCATGAAGATCTAGTAGAAAATCATGGATGAATAATGATTATCGGCGTAACACTTTCAGTCATCATCAATTATTTTTTAAAAGTTATGGATTTACACCATTATGAAGAAACTGGCAAATGTTACAATATTGAAGTTGTTGACAAATGTAGACATTGAGGCTTTATTTTTGAAAAATCGTATCCCCTAATAATCACATGTGCATATTATTGTAAATAGTATTTAGTTTTAAACATTTTAAGAAAATAATATGAATAGTCTGATCTCTTTTTGTAATCAATTATCATGTAAACATTATAATAATAAGTATTATTATTATTAATATAAAGAATAATTAATCATGTACATAAATAGATCACATCACGTACATGAATATGTATCTTAAGCTTTTTTTGAGTAGATGTGTACAATTTCAATTGTTTTCAATTGTACATGATTTAGAAAGGTTTGATTTTGACGGTTTGATTTTTTTGTGCAGGTTGTTTGTGAAGACCATTTTGAGCCAGACTGTTTCGAGTATGATCTCCAGGCAAGAGTTTTAGGGGTAGAGCCACATCTGAAACTGAAGGGAGATGCAGTCCCTACTCTCTTTGTTCATAGAAAGAGACAGGGAGAAGAGAAGAGAGATGAGAGAAGGGATCGCCTGATAGAAAGGAAAAGAAAGCAGGTAACTCAAATAGGCTTAAAAACACAGACATTTTTCACTGTAAATTTATAATGATCTACCCCTAAGCTTTTTAAATAAAGGTACGTATGTGAGTTGACATCTGTATGACTTAATATGTTGATCAGTGACTAGAATGTAGGTTACAAAATATAGCAAGGGTGATTATATCAGATTCAGTGGAATATATCATAACTTTCTGGGGTTGCATACTTACTTAATTCTTTTCTCTTTGAGGTTATCAGCAGTGTCATCAGCTCTTCAGCCACCACGAAAAGCAGGAAGTCTAAGGTACTTAATTTTTTAATTGTTCATTAGTATTATGGAAACCATGCCTCCTTGTTTGCCTTGATAGCATCATTTACAAACAGTGCCCTGGTAAAGTAACATATATTTCTTTTCAACAAACAGGAATTTGTCTCCCTGATAAATATAGAACACATTTAGAGAAGTGCCTCAAAATAAGACTGAGAATGAATTCATTAGACTCTTATGAGAATTTGTTATGTATTTTTCAATCATCGGAAGTCTTCATACAAAAAAACACTCTTATAACATTCATAAACACAGCCCAAACATCTTACTTTAAAAGCCAGCAGTGTATTCTTGTATATGAAAAACATTATGCATAGCAAATAAGTTCTTGACACATGTATTTCAGAAGAAATCATCAGATCATGCACCCAAGAAGAGAGGTTTGAATTCCAACCATGGCAACATTGAAGTTTGCTCTGTTGTAAGTATTTGTACTTGTTAAGCATCTTCTGAATTCAAGGAAAAAATGTGACTGTCTAAAATGGTTCATTTTCATTTTCAGTTTAATGTCTTGAATATATAGAGAATCTCGCCAAAGAGTTGTTTGATATGAAATATATGAACACAATTTTATTAAAGGTACCAATATCGGAGGATAATTTTGCTGTAATCAAGGAGTTTTGATATATTTGATATCAGAAGACATGATGGTGACATTTTATTTATCAGCCAAAATCATTCTTAATCAGTTATCAGTAAAAAAAATGAACATATATGAACACAAAACTGTCATTAGGCTTCCTGAGCATTACTGTCATAGCATTGTCAGCTGTATTCTTAGTGATGTCAAAGTATTATGACAATTCAATTGTTGTGATATCTACAACGAAGATATCGCAAAGCGATGTCTACTGTGGGAGCCAGTTTTATAATAATAATGAGAATATTTATAACATGCCATTTCCAGGCTAGATATCCTGCTCAAAGCTTATACTCCAATCATTGTTAACCCGGGTAATCCATGCTGCCTGTTAGGCACTAGAAGGTTAATAGTCTCACGACTTGTTTCACCGGGTACCCATTTTCTGCTGGGTGATTAGAGGCAAGTTTGAACAAACTCACTTGCCTAATAATTATGTGTCTTTTGAGAAATTCTAACATGTTTTTAACAATTTGTTTTTAGAGTATTGGCGTGCAGACTGAAGACTGGTGTGTTGATTGCGGCCACACAAATCATCACCGCTGCAGTGGTCCTGAGGCATCTCCCTTGACCACCTTGCTGGATCATGCCTACTGTGCACTGTCAGAGCAAAAGGAAGAGGTTCACTCCACACCTGATATTGATATTTCTGATATATCTCAGGATTCTGAATCATTTGACAGTGTTGTTGATGATTTGAATAAATCAACAGTTCTGAGCGAATCATTTTCTTTGCATGTTTCAAGTGTTAGAAGTGAATCATCATTGTACCAACCATCAAGTGATGCTGAATCACAAAGTGAAAATGAAGAAGAATCTGAAATAGACCCTATTTCAAATATCCTCTCTCAAGATAAATATATAGTGTTTTCCGATGCACTTGATGAAATTTTGTACCGTATTCCTTGTAAATACTGCTCATGTCCTGTTGATGAAATCAAGAAATCTTTTTTTGGTAGCATGATCACAGCCAAAATATATTGTACAGGGGGTCATGAGGTTTTGTATTGGAGGTCGCAGCCACTTTTGAATGATCATGTGTCTGCTGGGAATGTGATGCTATCTGCCAGTATATTGTTCACTGGACAGACATACAAACATGTTGCTGATGTTGCTTCGTTGATGAATCTAACATTTGTTGGTAAAAGTACCTTTTATGACACTCAAATTGATTATCTATTGCCTGTTATTGAAGATTTTTGGAAGGCAGAACAAACATCCGTGCTGTCAACACTACAAGACTCAACAGTTCAAGTGTCAGGTGATGGGTGATGTGGTTCACCAGGGTATAGTGCTAGATACTGCAACTACACCATGATGGATCACAGCTCACTCAAGATTCTTGACTTTGAGGTTGTAGAGGTGACAGAAGCAAAAAGTTCTTGTGGTATGGAAAAAATTGGATTTGAAAGGGTGCTTGACAGGTTGATTGGATGCACAGAGTCTGAGTCAGGAATGCATGTTTCAATATCTGATGTGTCCACTGACCGGCATGTATCTGTAAGAAAGCTTATGCGTGAAAAGTATGCTCCTATGCACATTAATCACCAATTTGATGCTTATCACATGGCAAATAGTTTGCGCAAGAAGTTGAAAGATAAATGTCGTTACAAAAAGTATTCAGCCCTTGCTCCATGGGTGCAATCAATATGTAATCATCTTTTTTGGTGTGCGGCTTCATGTATGGGAGATGCTGACCTACTTGTTGCCCGATGGGAATCCCTGCGCTACCACATTGTCAATATTCATCAGTGGGGTGGGCCAGGATTGGTAACATCATGTTGTCATGATGTTCTTACAGAAGATCAAGTTGCAAGGAAGAAGTGGCTGACTCTGGACTCTCCTGCCCATCGAGTTCTAGAAGAAATCATGATGAACCGGAAATTTCTGGAGGACATCAGAAGACTAAGCAAATTTTTGCACACAGGTCGTTTAGAGGTATACCACTCCCTCCTCAACAAGTATTGCCCCAAGAGACAGGACTTCGATAAGAAACAGATGACAGGAAGAACCCAGCTGGCTGTCCTCGATCATAACAAGCATACCATTGTTGATACACAAGCTTTGTCATCTTCTCTTGAGGAAAGCTCTTCTGATGCTGTAACGTTCATCAATCCAGATGGAGTTAGAGTTGTTTACAGTAAGCATTGTAGTGACTGGGTAATCAAACCAATTTCAGAGCTCAAGAGTTATCCCTACCTCAAAGACATGATAATGGAAGTTCTGAAGCGTCACAAAAATCAAGAAAAGGGAGAAGTGAAGGCTGAAGCAAAGGCGCGTAACATTGCGAAGAAACCAAAGCCAAGTAAAGAAATACTTTTGAAGAGACACATATCAAGATTGAGTAAATGCTAAACTATGCTGAATATTGTTGAAGTTGTTGAGTGATATTGTACTCAGGTGTGATGAGTATGGAAAGACATTTGTTGAATGTTCGTTCATCTGATATTATTGTACTCAGTGTGAATACTGTGATGAGTATGGAAAGACATTTGTTGAATGTTCATCTGATATTATTGTACTCAGGTGTGATGTGTATGGAAAGACATTTGTTGAATGTTCATCTGATATTATTGTACTCAGTGTGAATACTGTGATGTGTATGGAAAGACATTTGTTGAGTATTCATCTGATATTATTGTACTCAAGTTTGATCAGTATTGTGATAGGAATAACTAATGACCCCAGCAATTTGCTTGATAAACATGATTGAAGGACATTTGTTGAGTGTTCAGTAGACATAATTGTAATGATAGTTTGATAAGTATTGTCAGATGTGTAATTTGTTCAGTGTTCATCTGATATTATTGTACTCAAGTTTGATGAGTATTGTGATAGGAATAACTAATGACCCCTGCAATTTGCTTGATAAACATGATTGAAGGACATTTGTTGCGTGATCAACTGATAATATTGTACTCAGTTTAGTGAGTATTGTCAGATATGTAATTTGTTGAGTGTTCAGCTTTTATATTATTGTACTCAGTGTGATGTATGGAAAGACATTTGTTGAGTGTTCCCCTGATAATATACTACAGTTTATATTATGATATCATCATATCAATGTTATTGAAAAACTGATACTTAGAATTAACATCTAATTTTTGTAGTTGTCAGTTATCCATTATTTAATAAATACCATTCATTTACACACAAAAAACGCAACTATCTACTTCCATCCAACCACAATATATTTGGATAAAATCATTGCTCCTGAATTTCAGGAATCAGGAACTCAATATCCCGTTCATATCACTCGTGGAGATGCATGGCTTCATTAACTTCTTTAAAGCCCGTGTATTGTTGTCCTGGGAAGTTCTCTCTAATTTGTCTGATGACACAAGCAGGTATCACCTTCCTCACCCCTTTACCAAGTTTCTGCCCACTATGAGCCCATGACATAAAGTTCCTATATGCCATAAGCCTTGACTGTCTGAAATAGGTAACAGGTGTGCCTCATTATTGTTGAAAAGAATTTACTCATTCACCTAGAAATTTAGATTTAGAATAGAGGCCTCTCTCTCACTCGCTTGAAAACATAAATTCTTATCCAAATTGTTTTTCAAAATCTTTCAGTTGTTTATACTGTATACATCATTATGTTCTTTATCTTATTCAAAACTGTTGGTTTCCATGTTGCACACCTATTTATCAGTGCAACTAGGTAATGATAAACATAAACGTTTGTTTCATGTTTTTATATGTAAGAAATTGCTTTGCATAACTGTCACAGGAATATATAATTAGATGACAGCAAATGTTGATGAAAAAGTGATGTTATGAAATATCCATACTGTAGATATAGAAGCATTTTAGATGGTGAAAAGAGAGAATGAATTATTGCATTTCATCTACGGGTTGTATTTCAGTATGACTATCTAAGCACCAATAATATGTCAACAGAGAAATAAAGATTATTGATGTTCAGTTGTGATTTTGTTTTTCAAACATTCATTATCGAATTAATATCTAATAAAGGTATCACCTAATTTTTAATGTTATTTTACTGGGTAAGAAAAATGATTAAAAATATATGAATAATATTCCATGATGTTTTAAGTATTATGTGCTCCATATTGTGAAAAAACATCACATCGGGCATGGATTTGAGCATAATTACCCATTTTAAAAAAATATATACAATTACAATTATGCCATGGGAAAACACTTATTACAATACGATTTACTGTCATTTGTCACAATTTCTACAGAAATTGATAATTTAAAAATTCACAATTGGAAAATATGGAAATTTACCAAAGTGTATGTAAAAATATTTGAAAGACAAAACTTTCTATTTCATCTGAATATCAGTTTATGACAAGCTCTCAAAACCTCTTTTGGAAAATACCATGTAAGACGTGAGGGGATTATCACTGGAAAACATGCCGGTTGGTGAGAACATCAGGAGCTCGTCCACCCATTCCCTTGAACATCATGAATTGGATATAGCTCATAAGTAGCACCGGTAGTGAAAGACATATGGTGGAAAAATCACAGTGATCGGTAATGCAAGAAATACCGATAATCCTATCATGGAGGTATGGTATTTCCTGGCAACATCGACACTCCATTGCCGTTGGCATTGCCTCGCACTTCTCGCACTCACACCATGTCGTATTTCTGGTACGATTATAATCAGCGGAATCGGTCTCAGAATCGCTTTCACTGGATCGATTATCAAGCGTTCTGCTTTCTCCCTCCTCAAACTGCGGTTCAAACATATACGGTCGTAAGTTAAACTCCATTGCTGCTAGTGCTAGGCTGCTAGTACAAATTTAGAACTGGGTTTCACTTTCAATAAGATAATGTATTACGTTGAAAAGCGCGCAGCGCAAACATACCGTAAATTCAGTTGAATAATGACAACTCCATGGCACAATGATGTACGGAGATTACAATCTAAACTCCTTACACCGATTTCTTGTGGTGTGTCGATGACGTCACATTTTCAGAAAAAAATGGCAGCTCCCATGTCGATCCAAGACAGACGTTCATATGCGATGTAACTACTTAACCCGTTGACCGAATAAATTATAATTTGGTGAGAATTTGTTTTATTACTCGATCTTTTGCAGGATTAAATTTGAAAACTCATTGGAATATTCCTTTAAATTCACAAAATAGCGTATTTTTGTTATTTTTTGGTTTCAAACCGAAACCGGTTTCATAAAGAGGTTGCGGAAGAGTTTTGTACTGTAGTACAAGATTTGCTTGACGTCACACTGTAATGACGTCACTGCCTTGGTAACCGACGTCATGATGCATGTCAGTTGTCATCGCCTCGTACAGCCTCCTACAGTAAACTACTCCGTAGCACCCCGTTTCTTGGTTTGCAGTTGCTTCATTCGGCTAACATCACTGGTGGAAACATTGCGTTTATGTTTTTTCGACGGATATAATGTCTCAGTTCGACTCACAATTAAACAGCGACACGGCAACGTTCGCACTGTTTACATTCCCAAAATGCATTTAAGTTGTAGAATGAATGAATTCACGTGTTTGTTATGAATGAAAAAATAGTTACGTCAGAATGTGACCTAATTGAGAGGTCATCGGTTATCCAATCAAATCGTTATAATCTCAGGTCAAGTCGTTACGACACAGGTCAACGCGATACGACACTCGTGTGACGTACAAGATTAGTATGCAACTACCCATACGTTGACCACGTGGGTAATAAATTCAGGTATCCAATTCTCATATTAGTAACGTAAACTCTGGTAGTCTGGTGCAAGTGAAAGACAATTTGATTGACTGTTTGGGTTTGATGACTTTTGCCTGATTGCTAATAGAAGTAAACCCTGGACAAGTCTTATTGACTTAAGGCCAATGATAACTATTTATGTTAGCTAAAACCTGTTCCAAAGTTTGCAAATCATTCATACACTTTTATCATTTACTACATGTACCAGTGGCCCAAGCAAGTATGATGATCTTTCTCTGAAGTGTCATAATTAAGCACGAGCATCTCCCCTTGTGGACAGAGTGAGCGAGTGAGTTTAGTTTTACACCATTTTAAGCAATATTACCGGAATAACATGGTGGGGACACCAGAAAAAACAGGCTTCACACATTGTACCCATGTGGGGAATCGAACAGTATCCGGCATGACGAGTGAATGCTTACACCACTAGGCTACCCCACCACCATCCCCTTGTGAAGGGGGAGACTGCAGGGTCCATGTGCATGTTCTGGGTGTGTTGGGGGTTGGTTGTAAGTTGTAGTTCCAAAGCCATTCTATTTCTGGCAGGTTCTTTTTCAATGCTGATCTTATTTCTGACAACTCATGAAAACATTTATATTTCATGATTCCCTGTTATTACAGAAAGTATATTTTGATCAATGTTGATTTTCTTCTGATGGAAAATACAGAAGAGAATGTATGAAAGTGTGTCATTAATCATACAGAAATATCAACTATTTCATGTATTAACACTGTTATGTAAATTTGGATCATTTGTTACCAAACTGTATTGGCAGGTATTCACTGCTTGTTCTCACAATGTGTATTAATCTGATACAAAAGAAGAGTTTTTACACTTGTAAAAAGGTATGTGAATGAGATTATATGCTTTCTGTTGCTAGTACCTGTTTAATTAATGTTTGCGACTTGCAAGATGACACTCACTCACTACTGTCCTTTGTTGACAGGAATTTATTATTTTATTTTTACTTATTGTTAATCTATAACTTGTTTTAGTCACGATATGGCTGAAATATTTCCAAAGTGACTTTAAATTTTAACTCACTCACTTGCAAGATGGTGTTTCATTATAGGTACACTATGGGGCTTATCCTTTTAACAAATATTGGTAAAAGAAAGAATTTATTACAAAACATGAAAGGTTTGCATGTGTGTTGAGAGCATACTTTCAGTTTCATGTTCATTCTGTGTATTGTTTCAATGAATTGTTACTGGTGCATGGTGTATTTCTTCTTAGTAAGGGAAGTAGTGAGAGGTACAAGACATTTATATAAGAAACATTCCTATAGTAGAGACTGAAACAGTATTGATTGTACATTGTCTTTGAATGATGCTGCAGGGAATAGTATACTTGATAATCTACAACTGATATTTGCTTCTCCAGTTTACATAAAGAATTATTACCATTGTGGTGTTGTTAAAAACCTGAATGTTTTTGGTCAAATGTAAACTGATGGAAATGTTGTTTCTCAATTCAGAGATGTTCATTTGTCTTAACTCACAGGTTTTAGAGAAAGCATTCCACAACATAAAAATAAATATCCCTTAGCTGAAAGTGTTTGATGCTTTTATTACTTACATCAAGGGCATGTAATTAAGGAAACTTTAGTTCCCTAATGCCAGCTCACAATGTGTCAACGTATTCTCAGAGAGAGAAGTAGGTGGTGTGGTAAAATGGGGTTTAACGTCATACTTAAGAATATTTCCCTCATATGACGTATGTATGCGTGGCTGCTTGTACTAGCCAAGACTG